TTTTATTCTAAAGTAGGAAGCACTGGGATGCTAGCTGTACAACACAAGGCACATTTTTCACACAGAACCTTGCAGGCTATAAATCATTTAGCAGCTTCAAACTTAGAGTTTAAGTTTATCTTTGACCGCTGTTGCCTTAAGGAAGCACTTTAAACTGCCAAACTTTTGTTCCCTAAAGACAAGTTCACAGCGTGCTACTGTAGCTCATAAATATGACAGCAAGTACAGTACAGGAGATCAATAACAAAAGTAATGAAACCTGTGAGCTTTTGGAGTTGCAGACTTTCTCCAGCCTACCTCTTTTTGGTTGTACTTGATGGCTAGCTTAAGCCGGCTAAGGTTCATGCGCTCCTCCATCAGGCCCCTCTTGTCGACATGATCGTCGCTGGAGGTGTGATTGAGAATCACTTCCAGCTCTCGAGAGTTTCGAGCCTGAGCCAGAAGATCCTTGGCAAACATCTTGCACTGTTTCGCCAGCTCTTCGTAGTCATTCCTACAGCAGAGATAGGTTTTTAAACATATCCTGTTCAGATCTATAGCTTATAGTATCATTGTTTGTGCTGAAAGGGAGAGACCTGCACAGTTTTTACTTTAAAATTCCATAGTTTTTTGTTGTTGTTTTTTTTTAGATTGAATTGACAGGCCCTGCAAGGAGAACATTACTCACAGAAGAAGCAGTGTTATTTAACTATTTTTTAAAGGATAAGTCCAAAAGTGAAAGATGAATTTATGGCAGTTTATGGCTGGACAAATGAATAATAATGCATTGTTGGTTTTGATGTGTTTTAATTTTGATTTTTATTTGTTTAATCTTGTGATTGTACAGCACTTTGGTCAGTGGTACTGTTTTAAAGTGCTATATAAATAAACTTGCCTTGCCTTGCCTTGCCTAAATTGACAGAGAAATGGCTAATGAGTAAGCAATATTTTCACCTGAATTCGACCTCGACAAGGCTGAGCTCCTTCAGGTCTGCGCTCAGCTCAAATGCTCGCAGTATGGGGTCCTCCTCGGTCAGCATGATAAGGGAGGGGCTCGCCAGGCAGCGGTAGATGTCGAGTCGGAACCTGAAGGACAAAGTTTTATTAAGACAAAAAAGAAAGAAAAAAAAAGGGGGATCGAAGTTGCCCAAAAGTGAGAATTCAACTGAAAAAGCACATAGCCAATATTAGGGAACATGTATAAACTAATTAAAGTTCATTAACTCTATGTAACTGCTTTGGTGTGCAATTACATATCATAGTCGCTTATTTAGAAAAATAAAAACAAAGGTAGTATAAAATAAAGGAAAACAACAACAACAAAACGCTTATTCAAAGTGAGATTATGTTATTGCAATTAAAGATGGATTTATTTTTACACATCTTTACCAGATGTTCCAATAAATGTGGATGGTGTTATATTTGTATTCTTAAATCATTGCATGTGCAAAAAAGAAGGGTCATTGGAAGAAGTTAAAGATCTTAATAGTAGACTATCAATCAGCATGAAAAGTGCCGAGCTACAGATGCATCAGTTGTTTTAAGGTTAAAGCACCAACCACAGTCCTGCTACAAATGCTTCAAAACTAAATGTTAAGTTTCGACATTCCCAATAAGCAGAAGTATGCGTTGGATAAAATAAACATTCAGTTTTCTTGAATTGGCCCTGCTTAAAGCTCTGTGTTGCTTGGCAGAGAAGCCACACATTGATTCATTCAGACCGCTGCGTGGGACAGAAAATAAAATTGCCCAGCAAAACAACTCAGTAAAATCACATCTTTCAATCCAAGGTGTAATCCGAAAGCAAAACGTACCAATTCCCCTGGGGAAAACACAGTGGGTTGTTTGTTTGTTTTTTTTCTCCCTTTTGCTTAAGTTAGACTTTAAATCTCTTTTACATGTCAGAGTAAAACAGCTACATAGTACAAATGCTAAATGCTGTTTTTTGCTAAGCAGAAAAAGCGACACATTGCGTCAGTAGTCCTCTGTGTCGACAGACATAAAACAATTCAAAGTACAGCTACACACTTTCTACAAATGATTGCTTTGCATACAGCAAGCCATCATGAAAACCACTTTATGCCATTTTTTAAATAGCTATAAGTCACTGCATTAGCATGTACCTGGAGTGCCTTAAGCTGTCCTTCTTGTTTTTAGCATTGCACAGCATGCACTCGCAGCCTACAGCGTGAGGCCGAGGGAGGGAGATGTCCTGTTTTAGCAGCATGGTGAGGATCTCATAATTATTTCTGTGCGCTGCCAGGATAACAGGAGCCACATCCATGGTGGTGGAGTACTCTGGGTTCTGGATCCGCTGCATCAGTTTCTGAAAAGCACAGCAAGCAAGTATTAAAAACTAAAAAAAAAAAAAAAAAAAGAAAGAAAAATTACATGCTGTGGTACTCGGTTATTTGAGTCTGGAAAGATGTTTTAATAACCTGCAATAACGGGGGACTTACAGCGATAGAGGGCTTGGAGGAGCGTCTTGGTCTGTGGTTGAGGAGGATGTCCACGGCACCCACAACCTCCGAGTCTATGGCCACCAGCAGGGCATCTGTGGCCTTTGAGAAAAACATAATTTTAGAAAAAAAAGGGGGGCGGAAACAAAAAAAGCAGACAGAGGGAAAGAAAAATATAAAATGCTTTGCTAAAATACTCACACCTTTTACCGGCTTTGCACATGTAGCCTAACTATTTGAAAAATACCTCATTTAAACTGGTTGCAGAAAATTTCCAAACATTGCCAAAGGATTTCAATAGGATCTCGGCCTGGACTTTGACTGGACATGAAACTGACCTAAGAAAGTGTTATTCCAAAGACGGTTTGGTATCAGCCTGATTTGCAAGTTAAATATAAAGGGTGAATAATAAAAAAAATGTGAACTGCAATGTAGAATATGCAAAGAACTCCCAGTATAAATCCAGTGACGTGCAAAACGACATTTGCAGGTCACTGGATCCTCATTTCTGACATACCTGGCAGCCGTGCTCGAGCAGAAGCTGCAGGATGTCCAGGTTTTCATTCTCGATGGTGATGGTCACCGCGTCCCGGCCCAGCACATCCACACAGTTGACGTTGAGCTCCCCATGGCGGTTCTCCTCCAGCAGCTTCTTCACCATGTAATAGTCACCTGAGGAGACAAAATTGTTCATAAAACTCACAAGTGGCTTTCAAGTGATTCTTTCGAAGATGTTTAAAGGAGACGCCCCCAGACCTCAGCAGTAGTTACAAGGAAAGTGGTGAGACAGAACAGGAAGCAGCCTCCTAAATCTTTACTTAACAATAACATCTCCCTCAAAGCAGAATAACTTGGCTTCTCCGCTGTGTTTACAGAGGCTTTATATGGTGAATCTGTGAACTTATCAATGACTCGTTGAGAATGCCCATGCCTCTGTGCTATTTGACCTGCGTTTAACTCATCAGCTTCATCTCCTTGTTAGGAGCTGTGGAGATTCAGCAGATGAATCCTGTAACATGCAGACAGTTACATTACTCATCTACCCCCCCCCACCCCCCACTCCCCGATTTGCGGATTATGTTCTACTGCTGGCCTGACTGCATCACTGCAGGTAAATACGAGCTTCTAGTAAATGAAAAGCCTAACATAGCTCAAAAGGAGGTGAGGGGTGGGGGGGTCGGTAGATGGGCGAACCTTTCTCGCATGCCAGCAGGAAGAGCTTCTCGTCCAGCGTCGTCTCCTCTTTTACTTCTCTCACGTCTTTCAAGGCCAGGAATTTGTCGGGGGAGGAGGTGTCCGTGCCCTGGTAAAGAGCTGCCATTACGACGGAGAGCGAGTACGGCCAAGCACTGATGTGCATCCCACTAGAAAGCTGCGAACATCACACAAGAAAGCCCGTCATCGTCCTTGTTACTGCTATGTGTGGCTGGACAGTGGAGGAATCCTTCCAGGAAGCGAGTCGGAGCGGAACGGAGGCAGGTTTACAGCGTCGTCATCGGGAGAAATCTTCCTGTGTGGTCAACACACTCCGAGGCGTTGCGTTCTCTTTAGTGCGTCTAAACACAACCTTCCCGCTACCGACTATCCGACCTCAGGCTCGATTAAACTGGATTAACGGAGTCGAACGACTGCTTACGCCAAGAAAAACAAAAATGTCATTCCTTTCGCCGTGTTTGCACGCACCATCTTCTGTCCCACATCGCAGGTTTGCTGCTGGGATCTTTTTGGTCCTGATGCTGCTGACGAGGACGCTACTGCGCATGTTTCCTCCTCCGAGTCGCACGCGCTTCCTTCGTGCGCGCGCAGCGCAGTGTGCGTGTGTGTGTGTGTGTGTGTGTGAGACTCAGAATTACGTAACAGTGCTGCTTTGTGTACTGTTTGTGCTGACCGTATAGGCTGTGCAGAGGCAGAGACTTGAAATGTTATGCAGCAAAAAGCGCACAATGCTGCAAGTTATTTACAGAGCTTTGCTACAGCATTTATGCACCTGCATTTATTTGCACGCTGTACTGTTAAACATCAAACCATCCTCTTTTTTTAATACTATGCGGAGTATATGTCCCTGCTATTATGATATATTAAGCAAATATTATTCTAAAGTTGCTCTTTGATTGCAGCGTTTGATTTATTAGGTATTATTGTTTTTGCGGGGGAGAGGCATTGTTTGGTGACCCTGAAAAAAGCTAATTGAAATTTTCACAGCTTTCCTTCAGCAAAGGGAGGACATTTTTTTTTTTTTTTTACCATTCTTTAATAAAGGACAGTTTTGTGGGGTGCATGGCAAATATGTCAACAAATACTGGCACTTTAGGTATGGATGTTTGTAGTTCATCTTGTTTGTTGCTTCTGTGAATAATGTTCTCCTAGCAGGGCTTGTCAATTTAGATTTAGATGGTCAGAAATGATTTGCTAGATTTGCAGTTAGATGATATTATTTTCATGATGAATTACAAATTGGCTACACTACAAACACTGTTATGCAGGCATCGGATTGCCTTTATCTAATATCTTGTATCTGTATCTATAAACTAAACGATAAAAGTAATTTTAAAAAAATGGATAAAGCAATGTTTCTTGCGGTGTCCTAAGTTTAGGAAACTGATTTACATTCCTCTCCAACTTCATTTCATACTTACCTGGTGTGTTCCTTGATCTTTACTGTTTTTTTATTTTTTATTTTATTTTTTAACAGATCTTTGAACCACCTTCACAAAACCGCTACATTTATATTTTGATTAATATACATCCATACTTACATACATGCATTCTTTTTACTGTACAGATGACTTTGTTGTTTGAAATGGAATTCATATCATGGTATCAGAGCAAAAGAGACTGAACACACTTGTCAAATTCTTATTATTAAAAAACCCCCAAAAACAAACAACCAAAAAAAAACAAAAAACCAAAAAAAAAAAAAACATGTATCATTTAATCTTAATCTTTTGAAAACACATTGAAAGTGTTTTCAAAAGATCAAAACATTGATAGAATATAACTACTTTTTCTAGACTCCGTATCTCAGCACACTGGGCTAGAAATCGTATCAAAGTTTATGTCTGGGTTATTTTCTGCATTAAATTCAGTGGCCGGTAATGGAGGCTTAACTGTGCAATAGATATGTTTGGACATCTATTTGTGAAATTAATTATATCTAGACTGATGGAGTCCTTGCCAGGCCTTAATGGAGCAGATGTGGAGTTTTCCACCAGCATGTCAGAACACTTAACATCTTTAGATGTTTTACCAGAGAGGACTGAGGAAGTTGGGATTATTTTTGCAGTTTGACAAAATAGTACTAGCAGCTATAAACATAAATAAAAAAGTTCTGTCAAGATGAAAGCCTGGCAGGCAGTTGGGTAAAAAGAAGATTTTACATGAAATCCAGACTCAATCCCTTAAAATGATTTGATAAGAAGCAGTTCAGGCCTATGTGTGCTGTTGGATAAAAAGTTATCCTTTATCCTGCACATTTTATGTGTTCTATATGCAAAGTAAACTCTGAATTTATCAAATTAAATGGCTGATGTATTGATTCAACAAATACTCTTTTTTTTTTCTAATTTGACATTATTTATTCACTTCACCTTTTATTTGCTACTACTTATATTGAAAGAAAAAAAAATTGAATGTAACGGTTACTTAACGAATCACTACATTGAAATAGGCCCATGTCTTAAATTTCTGGGGGTTTTATATAAATTAAATGCGTTGCATTGATTGTGTTATTGTGAGGGGTGAACACGCCGTTATCCAGCAGAGGGCAGTCTGTTCAAAGTTTTTAGAACATCTGCAAGCATTTTTACTACCGATGAAGCATGTGTATTATGCAGACAAATGCGGTCATATTCTTTACAAAGCAAGGAAATTTTAATTATCTTTTTAGATCATTAGGGATAATTTAAGGATTTTCGCTGAAAAAGCTGATATTCCATTGTGATTACTATTTTTTTTAAATATATTTATTATTTTTATATATATATATATATATATATATATATATATATATATATATATATTTTATGAAATAAGAAAAACCCATGTGGCCATTACAGATGGGCAAACTTATGGTTAGGGTTAAATGATCATTTCACCCGATCACTGCCACACTAACGTCTCCGGTCATTAGTCATAATGTTATGCCTGAACAGATAGAAAAAAATCAATCCCGAGACTGGAGTGGTGAAAACATGCACTTAATCTGGGACGCTAAGTCCTCCCAACAGACAAGTTTCCCATCTAATGTACATAAAAGTAGATGAAATAGAACATATTTTGTATTAAAGTATGGATTTCAGTACACGATGCGATGTGGGGCCGTGAAATAATGAAGAGCTTCAAAGCGCTTTCTCTTGAACTTTTTTTAAAGGCAGGATGGGTGGAGACCTCTATGGCTTATAATAAAAGCTTTCACGATGAGCCATCTCTGCACAACACAGATGTACAACAGTGAGATCAACATCATACGTTAACATGAGGCCACATTTTGAGTGGCGTTGTTGTTGAGACACAAAAGCTGTAAAAGACAATTTTGCCAATTTTAGGCCAAGCTCGTGACCGTGCGATGTGTTGTGATACTGTAGAGAAGTGATATATAAATAGTTATGTTGATCATAATTGCAAAACATTCTCTATGCAGGTTGAAGTTACAGTCACGTAAATAATAAGTACATACTTTTATTCTGTTACAACTACTACTAATACTAATTATGCTTGTTGTTATTGTTAATGCTCATATATTACTATTTTATGTTCACTAAAATTTAAGTGAACATTTGTGACACTTCCCTTTTATAATTTCATTATTATTATTATTATTACAACTTAAAATCGTGGACATTTTAAACAAATCTAACATTGTTAAGCATCACAACCAAAAAAATTTAGCTAATTTTAGTGGCTTGGGATATTTTTAAAGTTAAGATACATTTTACGGACATTTAGGTACATTTTACGTGTATTGTCTTTCGAACTAGATGCTCGAGCTTATTTTGATTCACAGATATAGGTCACTTTTGTGTCAGAGGTGGCTTCTATTTAGTAGTAAAAAAGAAGCATATCCTATTTTGCGTAAAGTGATTTATAAAAATGAGCAGAAAAATAAAATTATGTTAATGTTTTATTCAGAAACCCCCTCATTTTTCTCGACGAATTTGTCCCTCACAATATGGCGTGGAAGCTCACGTCTTCTATTCTTTACGTCTCTATGTGGGAGGCGCTGGAGACAGACTGGGGACAAAACCCAATAAAGGAGCTACTTACCGCATTACGTCACCAATTGGACCAATGCAGCGCGTCAGAGGGCGGGCCTCTGCGCCTGCATTTGGACTGAACCCGTTCAGTGTGTGGCAGTTAGACAAGCAGAGGAGGTCGCTATGTGGGAGATTCTTAAATCCGTGACTGCGGATGCAGACTTGGCGCTGCTTTATTGCATCCAGATGATTTGAGCCGTTCGCGCAGGACTCATTTTGATTTGTTGCACCGTGTCTATGTGTGGATCTCAGCCCGGCTGTGTTTTCAAAGATGCATCAGACAGTATCTGCGCAGAGATGCCCCCGCTGAACATGAGCAAACAGGGCGTCTGTTACAATGAAGAAGACGGCGGCGGCTCCTTCCTGTGTTGTTGCGGATCGTTGCAGCGCTCGGTATGGACAACCTAAACGTCTCCATCATCATCATCACCACCATCCACCACCGCTCCAATGAGGAACATTGCGCAGTGCAGTGAATCGGGTTTTTGGAAAATATATTACCTAATCAACTGGAAAATAAATTCCCAGCATACACATTACAGAGCGCGCCTTGGTGCATTACTGTCGATGTAAAGAGCTCTGCCCAGTGGTGGGAGCCACTCTCTCCAGGGGTTACAGATGAGAAGCAAACAATACCATCAACCACTGAAGTTGACAGCGCCTTGGGAGAAGGATGCTGGCTTTGGGAGAAAGCTCAAAACCTACAGGAATCATACCAAGATAATAGCACAGCCTGGGATCGTGATGAAAGTGCTGCGCAGGAAGAGGATTGTGTTATTCATGGCCTATTTCCTGCTGCTGGTGCTCACCATGCTCAATTTGGCCAATTATAAATGGACCAAGGAGCCTCAGCAGTGCAACCATCAGATGAGGAGCACCACCTATCAGAGCAGATCGGACATTCGCTTTCTCTACAGGCCCTCCCTGGCTAAGAAGAGACAGCTCATCTACGTCCTGACCACCTGGAGGTCGGGGTCCTCCTTCTTCGGTGAGCTTTTCAACCAAAATCCAGAAGTGTTCTTCTTGTATGAGCCTATGTGGCACATCTGGCAGAAGCTGTACCCTGGTGATGCGGTGTCTCTGCAGGGGGCGGCCAGAGACATGTTGAGCTCCTTGTATCGCTGCGATCTGTCTGTTTTCCAACTTTACAACAGCCCCGGAGGCAAAAACTTTACCTCCCTAGGGCTGTTTGGTGCCACGCTGAACAAGGTTGTGTGCTCCTACCCCCTGTGCTCAGCCTACAGGAAGGAGGTGGTGGGGATGGTGGATGATAAGGTGTGCAAAAAGTGTCCCCCACAGAGCCTTAGACTGTTGGAGGATGAGTGCCTAAAGTACAACACTATAGTCATTAAAGGGGTGCGCATTTTGGATGTAAACGTTCTCGCCCCTCTGATGGAGGACCCATCCTTGGATCTGAAAGTGATCCATTTGGTTAGAGACCCTCGGGCAGTGGCAAACTCAAGGATCAAATCCAGACACGGCCTGATTAGGGAGAACTTACAGGTGGTCCGCAGCAGGGACCCTAAACTGCGCCGGATACCTTTCGTAGATCCCGGCCACAAGGTCAACAAGAAGGACGGCTCCGACTACCATTCCATCGGAGCCATGGAGGTGATCTGCGACCGCACCTCCAGGACTCTGAGGACTGCCTTGAACCCTCCAGGTTGGCTGAAGGGGAAGTACATGGCCGTGCGGTACGAGGACCTGGTGGAGAACCCCGTCAAGACCCTGAGGAGCGTTTACCGCTTCGCCAACCTCACCACCAACCATGACATTGAGTCGTTTGCGCTGAACATGACCAGCGGCTCCAGCTCCTCCTCCAAGCCCTTCATCGTCTCCTCCCGGAACGCCACGCAGGCAGCCAGCGCTTGGAGGATGGTGCTCAGCATCCAGCAGATCAAGCAGGTGGAAGACTACTGCCACCACTCCATGTCCGTCCTGGGGTACGAGAGGGTGAGAACAGCCGGGGAGGCCAAGGATTTGAGCAAATCGCTGCTGACGCGCTCCAAACTGTGAAGAAAAAAAAAACAAAACAAAAGCATCCTCCTCGCCACCAAAGACCTTTTTAATTTAATGTTCATTTTTCCATGCAGTGCCGTTTCCTCTTATTGTGGAATTAAAGCTTTACGTTCAAGTGTTAAAGGAGCTCCGGCTGGCTACATTTGGAATGTATATCTTGTTTTCGAGCTGCAGTTTGTACACTTCTTTTATACAGGAACACCGGCTGTGGGACAATGACTTAAGATAGGAAACAAAAGGATAATTTATGTATCTTGGTATTACTATGACACTACAAAGTTGATGTTTTTGAAGTTATTTTTGAATGTTTAAAATCTTAAAAAAAAATATATATATATATATATATATATATATATAATTTTTCACTCTCCATACTGTCTGTACAAGTGAAAAGAAAAACTAGTAGATGAAAGGAAAAAAAAAGTAGTAACATATTTTAAAAATCATTTTTATTTTTAATACCCCGTTAAAGTCAGAGACAATCAGTGATTTGGTTTGATGACGTGCCATAGTTAGAAGTCTCATCAGAACAGCAGTAGTACTTTATACAGTTTTTTTTTTTTTATCTGTCATTTCATTTTGTGACAACGTCCTTGTAGGATGTTGACATGCACTGTGGACTTTTGGTCATAACTCTGGAGCAGGACAACCTCTCTTTGTGTCAGTGTGAGCATTCTGTTCTACCATCTTCAAATGTTTACAATTGCTTGCTCTTATGAAAACACCTGAACTAAAAAAATAATATTGCATTGAGTAAAGTTCACAGTAAATGACTTTATGCATCATTTGTGAGTGTAACATTTTCAAACTGAAGAAATATTCAGTCTCATTTTGCTTGTGTCTAGACTTTGAAATTAGTTAGTGCTTTGAAACATAATTTGCCTCCTAACAGAGTTTCTGTTTTTCACTTTTTTTTTGACACACTTGTATGTTACAAGATAAAATGAGTAAATACAACATGTGCTGTTTAAGTTATGATTTGATTTATTTGGGGAAAAAGCTGTTTGAACCATATATGTGAATATTTTACATCACCACGGAGAAATTTTGGCCAATGCTTGTTTTACTATAGGCCAAGTCACCGCGTGTTTAGTAGGATTTTTATCCAGACTTTGACTAGGCCATTCTAAAATTGTCCTTTTTATTGTTTGTGAGCTATTTGCTGGTGTATTGTTTCCTGCTTTGTAATCCAAGAGCACTTGATCTTAAGCTAGTGAAATGATGGCCGTCGGGATCTTTTGCTAGAGAGCAGAATTCATGACTTCATCAATTACGACAATTTGTCTAAGTCCTGACGCAACAGACTCTCACTCTACTCTGACCCTGTTTGACTGTGGGTATGACGTTTGTTCTCTGAAATGCTGTTTTAGTTTTACAGCAGGCTAAACTGGATACACTTCTCCCAAAAGTTAGACCTTTATTTTCATCAGTCCATAAAACATTTTCTCTGAAGTATCATAGAGTAGTCAAGATGTTGGTCATGAACAACGACCTTAACTGAGGCAAGTGATCTCTGCGGTGCTGTAGATGTCGTTCTGGGCCGTTTTGTGAACTCCTGGATGAGTTTTTGATGCATTCTTTGTGTTACCATGGCAGGTCTCCCACTGGGAACAAACACTGATGTTTTATATGATGTTTATTTATGGCTAATGTCTCACACTGTGGTTTGCTCAGATCTAACGCCGTAGCTGAGGTTCTGTAACCCCTCTCAGATTGATGATTATCTAGTATTTTGCTTCTCATTTGTTTTTTAATTTTTTTCAGCATGGGGTAAGACATGTTGTTGAAAATTTTCCATCTGTTTCACAGTTTAATCATAGCTCAGTCATTGTGTAATAAGAGGAGGAGTTGCATCACCGGCTTGGTTTGGATGGCTTATTTCCTTAAACAAATGAAATTATAATTTTCCAAAATTTCATTTTGTATTTACTCAGGTTATCTTTGTTTGATATTGAAATTACTTTTATGATCCGAAACAACAGAAGTGTGACAAAAAAGTGAAATAAATTTGTAAGGGAGGACAGTTTTTTTCACAACACTGTATTTCTGCAAGCAATAGTACCACCGCAAAGTCATACATTTGTTGCCAATGGCTACATATCCTAGGGGTGCCCTATGGCGTTTGGTAAATATACTTTTTGTTTACGCTCAACGGTAATCGGCGTGGATGGAGTGTGTGGAACAGACCAGATGTTTTAAAATTATTTCCCCTTGAAAAATTCCTATAATCCTTATTTTTAGATCCAGGGTTTTATTTTGGGGAGTTAAGTAGTGCGGCTGCTTTAATATTTAACAAATCCATATATTTTTATCTGCAGAACCCTTTTGACTTGTACTGAATCCCTTTTACCTTCTTCCATCCAAACAAAATAGCTGCTGGATTATGACCCAGCAACCCAGTTTTATTAATTTAGTTCTGCATGAAATATATGGCTGTCAAAATGCTAGGTTACCGTGATGTCACAAAATGATTTTTTTTTTCCACATTACGTCACATTTATCTAGTACAATTCAAACTAAACTCTTCGAGGAAAACAATCTAGAGAATAATAAAAAAAAAGTTGGTTAGCACAACAAACTAATACTTAGTTGAAACACATTTTGATTCATTTCAAGAATTCAGTCATCTTTGTTGAGTCTCTTAACATCCAGCATCTTTCACTTCCATAATATTTCAAAGGGGAAACAGAAATGCCGTTTTGTGCCCTTCTCAAATTGTGCCCAAATGAATAAATTGTGGTTTCACAAGATGTTCAGCAGTTTTAACAGTTCCTCAATTGTTTTAGACTTCTATCTTTAGATCTTAGATTTTAGTCCAGTGTAGTCATTAGTTGCCGTCTCTCTGGTCTGGGTTAGTTAAAATATTAACTGAGAAATGAGACACTGAGGCATCATCAGTTCTCACCGATTCCTCAGATGTAAAGTAAGGGGACTTGATATACACATATTAACGTATACTAATATACGTTAATATGTGTAAATGTTAACCCTGCAACATATATAATAATAGGTTCTTTTTAATCTCATTAAGTGCTAAAAATTATTACATATTAGACTGAATTAATATATTTGTTGTCTTGGTGAAATATTTTAAACTGACATGTAAAACAGTTAGAGACCAAAAGTCAAATATCTTAACACTTCAAACAAGACAGTGGGGTTATTTTTTGCCTTTAACAGTATGCTAACTTTGAAAGTATTAAGTTGTTAGACTTGAAAGCGGGCTCTTACCTTTTTGATTCCATGTGTGTCTCAGGAAAAACATAGTGCATTTTGGGTCTGGTTACTTTGCACCTACTCAGGAAACCCTGATAGAGTTTAGTCCTTAGTGTGAATGAGTAAAATGTAGAGTTAGGGCTAAGAAAGAGTTGGATTTGGCTTTTGTCTATCTTTGTAAGCACACTCCTGAGAAAATGCACATGGCTTAATGAGATACATGACTGAGTTTGTATAAAAAGCCAAAGCAGAGCTGATAAAATGTGTTTTTCTACAACGGAGGGATTTTGCTGATAAGTTCATATCTGCATGAATAAGTAGAAGTAGAGTAGCGGTTGCAAACAAGAGGCTCTCAGGAAAATTCATGAACAACTTAACTTTTTTATCAGATGATATCGAAAAGAAAGGGAAAATCCTAAACAGGACAATAAACTGAAACAACAGCAGTGTGACAGAAAAGTGTTGCGTTTTTCTGTCAGTGTGATCGGTGCTTATAGCTCAGCTTCAGGCTGTTTGCAGAAACAAGTGTGTCGTTTAACGCATGCATGCCTGGGCCTGAAGTCAAAAGCAATAACACAGGCCAAAGACATCTAAACTAAAAACACCCCTCCTTTACAGTAAACATGATCAATAAAATCTCAAAAACAACTTTAAAAAAATTAAGTAAAAAAAAAAAACATCCTATTAAAACTTACTTTAGATTAATAAATCAGATCACCATACTAGAGGTGTTTTTTTAAGTTAAATTCAAAAGGCAAAAGTCAAATTGTAAGAATTCATTAAGCAAAAAGTTATAGCTCAAAGCATTTATAAAATAATCTTTTCTATTACTTGAATTTTTTTTTTTTTTTTTTTTAAAGCAACGGCCCAGTCAAAAGTATTCCCCATGATGTTTTAGACATTTCTGTTTAAAACAGTGTCCTTTATTGGTCATCCGCTCCTATTGGTTTAAAACTATATTTCTCACAAATATGGCGTTACAGAAAATACGTTTTTTTAAACATCTATACATACATGCTTGCAATATATCACTATTTGTGAACAAAAGCTATATGAGTTTCACCAACCAGTCAGATTTTCCATACTTTTTTTTAAAACATAGTGGTCTATAGTTAAATACAAAATAAGCAGTATGCAAACTATCATAACACCAATAAATGCTAAAACAAGTAAATTAAATAAAAAAGTAACTGCTAGAATACAAACAAAACGTGCAACTGAGGAAACTTGGATACAAACATAAACAAATAACCAGAGATAAATATAAACCATATAAAAACATTGCATTCATAAAAAGTACTTCAAGCACAAGACAAATAGCACATTTATCGTTTGAGATACACCTGTCTTGTTAATTTTAAATCCAGTTTTGTGAAAATAACATTAAGAAGATTGTTATTACAGAAAACTACAGAAAATGGCATAATTAACAGAGAAAAACGGTGGCGTTTATAAAATAAAGGAATTGTTAGGTGTTGGGGTTGATTCTATTTCCCACTGGCAAACATTGAGCTCCATAAAAGCAGGTCCTTGTTTTTGGTCAACTTCCTCTGCCTATGAATCAACTGATTGGCAACAACTACATCAGTGAGGAGAAGAAAACCCATCGGCAAAAACTTTGCAGTTCATAAGAATGAATGACACAATTAGGAAGTGAAAATAAGGGTTACAAAACTGAGATGACCTTGTTTAAACTACCGTGCACAGCAACTGAAGGCACTGCGTCAGAAAATCAAACTATATTTAGTTAGTTTTAAAAAACAGCTCTTTTAAGGATTTTAGTCTGGAGACTTGTGATGAAAGGCTGTTGTTCGCAGCTCTTTAATCAAGAGCGTAACTCTTATCAGGTGTACTATCAAGCTTACACGGTAAACATTTTCAGCAAGCAACAGCTGAAAGACCTGCATTCCACAGATGTACCCATGTATTTGTTGCATAAATAGAAGAGAGATCACTTCAAGGGCAGGGGGTGTATTACACAAAGCCTAACCTACAGCAAACTGCACCCTGATTCACTCCAGGGGAATAAAAAATGTGGGACGACCCAGAGATTTATGAGTCAAAAAGGAAACAATGCACGTTCTAGAATGAAAGCCAGAACCGGTATGTTTACAGAATGCTCTTGGACGATAAGGAGGAGGACACGGAGGGAAATGAGTAGGGGGATTTGAATCAGCTGAAAGGGCAAAAATGCGAGATGGGCAGAAAAGAGGAGGAGAACAGGAACTGAAATAACATCCTGGGTGATTCGAAGAAACACTGTGGCATTCAATCACTGGGTATGCTGGTGAGAGAGTTCCCACATTACGAAACATACCATGAGGGTCACTTCATCTTTTGTATTTAAAAAAAAAAAAAAAAAAAAAAATCTTTTTTATAGGTGTCCAGTTAATGTAACCAATTCCATTTACCAGTGGTAACAATATATATCTCAAGCATTTTGTTGCCGTTGATTTAAAATGAAGATGGTTTATAAGTAATGTGAATCCAAAATGCAGTTTTTTTTTTTAAATGGATATTATTACATAGATCAATGAAAGAGACCTTTATTTGTCACCGACAGCCTTCACAAGGAGGATAAGCCAAACACGGTGCTTAAGAACCACTCTCTTCACAGTGTTATGTCCAAGGCAGTCATGTTTAATAAATTAGTATAACACTGAAAAGTTCATTTATCTCAGTAACTCACTAAACCAGATGAACTGATTAACGGAGTTCCAACATTTAAAATTAGAATATTAAAACAGAGCTGTAAAAAGCAAAACGCTTTGAGTACAGAAATTTTCAATAAAAACTACGTTTAATACCTGCTTACAGGTTGTTATTTTCAAAAATTACTGTGAATTTGACAAATAAGCTTCATTGGCGGACATATTCGCATTCACTGAACATGACTGAATACTAACAGAAAACTTAGTGGGAAAACTCAACACTGGAGCTCAACCAATTTGGATTCGCTCTTCGTCCAGACTCAGAGATTCTAATTTGGAAATAAAATGCAAAATGCACTTAAATATAACAGCTGGACTTAGGGCCATGAGGCAGAAGTAATCCTTTTCCCCCCCTTATCCCATGTAACGCTTTTATCAGGAATGTTGACACTAGTTCTGCAGTGGTTTACCATAAGGAACGTGTTATCTGATGTTCTGAATGCCGTGGTGTGAGGAAACTTCTAAAGCGCTGACTTCATCTGCTCTTGAATGGGCATCAGGCTGGAATCCCATTGTCCCTGTTGGTTGTGGACCTTTTCCTATAATAGTTTTTTTCTTCCACTCAACTCTTCATTAATATTTTGGATACAGCACTCAAAGAACAGCCAGCTCCTTTAGCAATTAACCTGTTGCAGCTTACACTCCTTGTAGAGGGCTGTCAAATCGACCGCATCCCCCAGGAGTCTGCAGAATGTACCACTCTCATAACATAGCCTCTCTTTTAAAAATATATATATATCTTTTAATATCTTGTGAGATTCCTCTGTGTAATACTTCTATGTATGAGGTTCACTTTTTGAATTGAAATAAATTAACTTTTTGATGACATTCTAATTTACAGACGTGCTCCTGCATATGAAAATAAATTTAAAAACAAAGCAGGACAATACATCTCCAGTAGAGAAACAGGAAGAATGCCAGCCTCCACTAATTGTCTCTTCCTTCCAGCGCGAGTGTGTTTTTGCACAACAACTCGGCACATGGGGGTTGTGTGACCTTATGCGAGTCACAGTAACAAACTCCCACTCGGTGGCTTTGAAATACACAGACCATGGTCCCTGCGCTCTGTGGGAGGTGGGGGCTAGCGTTAAGGCAACAGGAGAGGGGGGAATGATAAGGCAAAGTTAAAATGGGAAAAAAATTCACTCCTCAATGACGTGAGCCGCTCCAGTGCCGAGGCCCAAATCTCCCTCCAGCAGGTCCTCTTGCTGCTCTGACCCAGAGTCGCAGCTCCGTGTGGACAGAAGATCAGATTTCTCCAAATTGACGTCAAAGTTCTCTGGTTCAGTCTCAAAGGGCCGCTCCTCATCCTGAAAGGTAAATAATAATAGAGTGGAAAAAAAAATCTCTTTTGTTTCAATCCGTTCTAAGAAGATTCATTGTAAAGTTTTGATCACCTCCTGCTTTTGGTGGCCACAGAAGACTCCAGCAAACCTACCACACCACTGTGGCAGTGAGTTGGTCAGCGGGGGGCCACAGTGGGTCAGCAGGGGCTTTAGATATCTGTAACCTCGTTAAGTCAAAACCATAGTCAGTATAAATCCTAAAATATGCTGAAACTGGGAATGAAAGGAGCAACTTCACAGGTTTAATGATGCAAAGAAAGAATGTTGGACGATTCGCACAGAAGACCATCAGTCATCTTGCTTTTATTTCTTATGCGATAAGTGTGGCTTCCCGTTTTAGCTGCTTATCTCAAATACCACATCATGTCACTCCACCATGTTTAAAATAGCTCTAAAATCAACTTTGAGCAATACTTTAGACATATGAGCCACAATTTAAAGCCACTGTTCATATATATATATATATATATATATATATATATATATATATATATATATATATATAAACATGCTTTGTTTTGTTTTAAATTTATTTTCATTTACAGGAGCATATATAGTGATGATTGTACACATAAAGCCTTATATAATACTTATATAATACACTTATATATTGCTTGCATCTTGATTAAAATAAATACCACTAAACATCATCGTAAAATGTTAAATCTCCTCCCAAAATGAAACATAGTTCAGATAGTCTTTGAACAGAAGAACCATTATTGAGGCAGCCACAGAACCGGCCTTTATAGAAGAGAGGCAAACACAAAGCCACTGCTGAAACTAAGCCAGAAGAAGTCCTGTCTAGGGTTTGCCACAAACATGACGAACCCAGTAAACACGTGGAACAGAGTTCCACATGTTTGCTGGGTAAGAACAAAACTGAATTGGCCTACATGCAAAACGCTGCACCTCCCACTGAACACACCATCGACAGCATGAAACATGGAGGTGCCAGAGTCATGCTCTGGGGATGCAAGAGTGTGGAAGTTTGTCAGACTTTATGGGAAGATGGATGGTGTTACAGTGTATACCTAACATTCCCAGAAGAAAATTTGTTACAAGCTGCAAAATAAAAAATTAAAAAGTAGGACAGAAGCTCACCTTCCACCAGCAGAGGACACTGACTGGACTGTCTAGGATCAGTGGTTCTCAACCAACTGGCTGAAAAACAGGCATAGCTGCACATTCTTGTTTGGGCATGCATACAGAATGTGCACTTATAAAATAGAGTATAACAGTATAGATATTTAGTTTTTCTTTAACACAGATAGGCACCTTAATATGTTATCCATTTCTCTAGAGCTATCAGTATAAAGCAGCTGCCGCCGGCTTGTTTAATTTTAACAAGGTGAATTCTCTGAATGGCATGAGAGAAGAACCTAAAATCAGTCAATCTGAGCTCATCAGTTGGTCCTCTGACAATATTTGACATTGACCTCATTTCACGTTCACTTTGAATCAGCTTGAAAACTGGTGAGTTCAGCACAACTGGTGCTCTGCATGTTCCCCATGCCAGACACTTTTCAATACTGAGATTCTTTGTAAACATCAGTGAAACAAGCAGAGGATTTCCTAATCCATTAAAATAAGTTTCCAAATCACGATGCAACCTGTTGACGGGGTAAACTGTGATTTATATCTGTGTGGCCAATGCCGTTTAAGCATAAATGTGCCTAAAACATGAAGGTCAGTACAATGTAGATGTATGCATTACTTTATGCTACTTTAACTCCAAAAGCACACTTGTAAAAATGTAGATAGCTGTACAATGAAGTAAAAATACAAGCGCACTCCAAAAATGTCTGTGTTCAACATATTTGCACATGTGGATATTTATTCATTTTAATTCATGTCAAAAATATCTATTCATCCCTCTATCAAATTTAGAGTTGTAGCAAAAATGATAGTCTGTGAACGCACTTGAGTTTACCCCGTCTTTGAATCACTACTTATTTGCCGTCTCATGGCTCAAACCAGCACATTTCAACGACTTCACTAAATTCACATGATGTAAAGCTAAAATGACCGACGTCTTTCCAGATACGCCCAGCAGGCCTTTTCTTTTTATGAGGTCATTAAGAACCAATAGCCTCTTTTGTTACAAGACAGAGAGCTCCATATTAGTCATTAGAAGCTCTAGGTACTAGGTGCTATTTTTAACTTGGATATCTAAAGGGTTCAAATATATTTCATTTCACACGGATGTGCATGCTCCTATCAGCTACGGGGATCTCTGAAAGTTAGACGGAGATAAAAAAATAAATTGTGTTAGCTTATTTCAGGGTATCGGGTCGATGAGGCTCTTGATTAAAATCAGAAACAAGGCCACAATTAGTCTCCAAATGTGCTTAAGAGCTGCTGCAAAGTAATGCAAAGAGTCGTGTGTCGGGTGGGCGGAGGGAACGACTGCAGACAGAAATGATGTGTTAATGTTAAGGAAGGATATCAACATGCTTCTGGTTAATGCGTAATAAAAATTACACCCTGTGATAAGACTCCAAAACCTCCCTAATCAAGGCAGTTAGTGACAGCATATTCCATTAAACACTTGATCCTGGATCCCCTTTATTACAGCTCCTTATGTGTGACGGCACACTCATTAGCTTTCAGCTGTAAAAGTTCTGAGCGTTCTAATTATTAGCCACTTTGCTACTTCTGGTTGTTCCTTATGAAAAAAAAAAAAAAAAAAAAAAAGAGACAAAGCCCCGCTTCACCTTTGTCATCCTAATGGGACAAAAGCAAAAATGTATATCTCTGAGTGTGCAACGGATAATGTGGGACGTAAAAGTGCACAATTTCCTGACGTGAAAAAGAAAGAAAGAAAAAAAAACAATCAAATGAAAGAAGACAATTATCTCATTCGTCAGCAATGAGTAAAGGGTTAGGATTATAGGCTTCTTTGTGTTCGCCAACAGGATTCATTTATGAGTCTCAAAATTAGGAAAGGAGAGAACAAAAGAGGGTACAGGGATTTTGAGGTGGAGCAGTCGGCATGGTGCCGCGCTACATTAACACAGCTCAGCGGATGGTTGTTATTGCTCTCTGTTTCAAGGAGGTGTTGAATTAGATTTGCGTAAAAACGTGCTGAGTAGTTCTGAGCTGGAAGAAGCCGAGCTGCTGTTTCAGCCACTCTCCTCCACGTCTCCCCTCACCCGCCTCTCGTTAAGTCGTGGAGAACGTTTTTCACAACTATCACACCTTTATTTTTTGACAACCTTTTATATCCCTTAGTGTGACCATTTATGCAAACAGTGGCATAAAAAACAAAAACAAAAAAAAAAAAACAAGCAGCTATGTTTCAGGAATTACTTTTGCTTTTCTTTGCAAAACAGAGTTAGATTGCCACAGATTCTTAGGTCTGCAGCCATTTTACACACAAGTGTGCTCTCGTCTAAATCATTCCAATGAAGCTCTGGTTCTATATTAAGGGTAGTCTACCAGCTGGTTGGCAGATTACCCCAGTGTCAAGTTTTTGCAGTCTCTAATTTTAGCTTTTGATTTTGCGTGCGTGGCTAAAGATGTTCCGAGTTTATTTGTCATGTATTTCACAAACGTATTCTGATTAAATCACAGTTTGACAGTATAATCACTGTCAAATGTTTACAGGTTCACAGCTAGAAGCTTTACTCCTGACAAAAGCTGCCTCTCCTTTTTTTATTTTACGAGGGAGAAAAGACATGTCTGTTGAATCTCTTAAATTTTTTTTTTTTTTTTTACAGCTCCATATTTCCAGAAAGTTCAAAATGAACTCTTTTTAGGTTATAAAGTGTGGCTGCTGCGACGAGTCAAAAACAAAGAAACGAAACAAAAAAAAAATTCTGAATTCAAAGTCAAAACGTGGCGCCTCAATCCATCTTCCATTCATATCTAAACAGCTGGATCTACACAGGATGACACATGGTGCAGGATTGCCAAAACTTTCAGTATATAATTGAAGAGCCTCCTCACTTGACCTTCATAGTATTTGATCCAGCTTTAATCTTTTTCATATATAGAGGGAATACTTTTGCAAGACGCTCTATTTATATACATATATAAGTAGCCTCAGTGTTTTCGTTTACTGTGCTTCTTCACCGATTATACATCAGTTGTCATTATTTGTATTTATCCTCCGGAGCGTTGTGTTAGTTGCCAGTTCTTTGTGATTCCTTCCAAAAGGCCGCGTACTAAAACAGCATCAGGCTTCGCTTTCTAAGGTGAAACTATTTCTGGTAGAATTTATTTATTTTGGGTGGTAGCAGTATGTGCACCATGTGCAGAGTGACTGTCCTTGAAGGTGAATAGTTTCACCTTCGCTTTCTAAGGTGAAACTATTTCTGGTAGAATTTATTTATTTTGGGTGGTAGCAGTATGTGCACCATGTGCAGAGTGACTGTCCTTGGGTCTATTTCGATTTATTTCATGTTCAATTAAGGCCACTTGAGCCTAAAAATTTTTCTTTAAAAAAAGTTATTTCGAGTATTAGAAAACATTTCTCCAGAGTATGCTTGAAAATATTGATGTGTTTAAGTATTTTAGTGGTGTTTAATCTGTTTGTCGATCAGAAAAGCTGGCGAGGAATCAAATAATTTTTAGGTAACAATCAGACGCAAAGAATAAATACTGAAATCAGGTACACAAAGTTTTTTTGTTCCATTTGCAGCAGGAAGTGAATCAGATTTTTTTCAGTCCTGGACCAAAACATATCCTGATGTTATGTTTGCATGTTTGTCATTTTGATTAAAGCTTATAATATACAATAAGACGGGATTTCGTCAGTATACTTCAAATACTTCAAACTATGAGAACCTGGCAAGGAGGTGAGCAATAAATTACAAAGGACTCAACAGAACAAAAAAAAAAAAAAAACAATAAACAGGACATAAGACACACCCTCTCAAAAATTTGAATCACAAGTGGTCATACTTTGCAGTGACCAGAATATAGCACAGTTGGATTTGGTGTCAGAAAGAAAGTGTTTGGGTTGGGTCCAAACTGTCTTGAATGGGTAATCGATTCCATTGCTTTTCTATAAAGCCTGAAAATGAATCCTCACCTTTTTTGTTTGTAACCTGTATTTTGGACATGCAAGGAACATCTAGTCTGACAAGTTAACTGATCCGGCCACGCGATCTATTAGAGATGACCTCCTTTAAGTAAAGATTTAGAATACCAAAAAGGATTAAATATCACTAGCACATAGATCAAGTGATTTTAGTCTACGTGGTAGATACAATCAAACAATTTGTTTTTGGTTGATTATATCTTTGTTGTGTCAGTGCATCTTGGCAATAACACTATTATACTGTTGGAAAGACTGTTGATTTTACCTAGGAAGTACCAGATTTACAAATCACATTTGAGGGTTAAGCAGCAGAGTTGAGTGTGTGGGTTGAGTCTATGAAAACTTGCCAAATTCTCTCTGGCAGTACCAAATGTCTCATTCTATTACTAACTATGTATTAATGCCATTTGTTAGATTTGATTTTTGGAATCGTAAGATAAAAAGACATATTGGCGAAAAGTTTGCTAATTTAACCCCCAGAAGCCTATGGCGTTGCCACTGGTTGAATAATCTCATCACCGTATCTCTCTGCGCTAAAATCGCCTCCAACTGAAGACCAACTTTGTATTTCCACTGAGGGAGAAGGAATCCCACACTGTCGCACTGCCTCCTCTGTTTGCGATTAGGGAAAGAATAGATTTTCAGCAGCACAACCTCAGATAATCAACTCTGCTGCTCAACCAACAAATTCATTTTCCTTACAAAGGAAAATAAACAGACTTTCTGACAGTATGAGTAAGATTTATTGCCAAGAAGTGCTGTAATAACAAGAAAAACATGGAACAAACACAAGTTCCATTCCTTTACTGCTTCACTGCTACGTGAAAGTGAAAGATGACATAAATCATTTTTGATGGTTAAGGATGGCAAATGGCTAACATTTAGTTCCATGCAGTCATTGCCAAAGTTTTTACAAATGACAAAAAGATGTGCTGTTTTTTTTTTTTTTTTTTTGTTTAATTCACTCTGGCAGGCCTGAACTCAGATGACTGACCAAATCCTGACTGAGATCCATTCTTGTCTCAAGTGCTTGGAATTGAAAATAATTTCTGTTTTTTGTTTTTATCCAGAGGCGTCTCATGAAAATTCCACCGATTCGCAAATGAGGTTAAGATCTAGGGAGTTTCTTTGACACGAGTTCAAACTCTCAGTTCTTTAGAGATTTTGTTATCACTTCTGTCTTCTGCCTAATGGTACTGGAAACTATTTCACTCACGTTGTCTGAAGGAGATACTTTTGGAGGGGGCTTGATTCCTACACAAAAAGTGTTCTTTTCAAAACAGTAAAAGACATGGGTTGCATTATTCTGCAGATATATTTTTTTTCAAGATTTTTCACTTTTTCCTTGTACTTCCTGCAGATCCTATATTCTATCATTCATGTTCTTCTTGGAAAGGAGTGACCTCTTTGCTGCCTTTTCTTCACAAGTCTGCTGTCCAAAGGAAAAGTGTCTCCACTGCATGCTAATAGATGTCAACTTTACAAAGAAGGTGACCATTGGTGACAGATAAAATTATTTTAATCGTGTCTAACCCCCTTCTACTAAGAGTTTACTATGTCACAGCTTGGAAAATGAGTGCTGATAAATGGAATGTGTCAAAAGCTCCTAAAATGATGTTTTTGTACAGAAGAGCGACGAGCTGGTTGTGAATATTAAGGTTGTGAGAAAGTTTTTTTTGGCTTCCTTGATCTTATCATCATATGTATAGTGGGTTTCTGTATATAGGTCAGAAAACTTGTTTGACCAGTCTGGAATTTGACCATGTGGAATAGATTAACATAGCCTAATTTTAGACAGTACTTTTTGCTGTTGGAGTTGTTTAGTTTGGCATGTTAAAAATCACATTTTTTTTTTTAGCTTGACGTCAGAGAGCAGACCACAAGGTAACAAGAAGAAGTGGACTTGGTGAGGATGAAGCCGTGATTGAGAAGACTTGTACTCATAAAGAAGACCTTAGGAAGGCAATTAACTCTATCGTTGGAGCATTAATGTAAAAGTGATTGTCAATGAAGTTTCTTGATAGCAGTTTTGCCTGCGCAAGTATAAATATCTAAACATGTCTCCACTGATCGCTACTGAAACTCTTATTTCTTGTTTTTCTTTTCCAAACAAGTTGGTATTAAAACAAGGTTTTAATAAGTTACAGCTTCAAAATTGCTAAAATTTTCCATCACGTCATTTATTTGCTTAAGTCATTTAGAGGCAATGCCAGAGATTAAACAGGGAATTTGCATTTTTCTTTGTTCTCAAAGCAGAGAACAAAAAGTCATGAAAAAGAGGAGAGCCAAGTGTGCAAACTAAAAGAGTACCACTCTCCATAAGGTGATGTCGTTTCAAAACTATAGTCATTAAGCTGCAAGTGACATGTATGTTAGAGTTTCTGCAGTCTGTGCTGTAAAAGACAAAAAGAAAAAAATATGGAGCCAATATTAGATTGCAGAATGATTATTCTTATCAATTTTAATTACAAATGAGTAGAACACATTATGCCGTTTTGTTTCAAACAGGTGTAAATACAGTAAAATTGTTATTTACGCCAGCCCAAGCCTAATATCAAATAATTTACAGTTTGCCAGCACTATTCACTGAGAAAAAAAAAAAAAAAAGGTTATGTATATTTTTAACACTGTTTGACATTAAGTCAGGGTACATTTTCTTGCTTTAGGTCAGAATTTCGGCTTACTCTTCCTGACAGAACTGGTGCAACCGAGTTACGTTTGTAGACCGTGTTTCTCACACGCACCATTTTTTTTTTTGTCTGCCCATAAATTTTCTATGTGACTGAGGTCAGAGCTTTGTATTCTCAACTCCAAAACATTCTGTTTGTTGCCCTTAAAACCACATTGTGACTAAATTGAAGTCATTTTCTTCTTGGATGTCCCATTTTTTGCCCAATCTTTAACTTTCTGGCTGATGATTATGATGGTACTTCAACATTTCAGCGTAATATTATTTTATCATAGTGTTAAACAAAAAAAACTCCACAACCAAAAACTTTACCCCAGTTTCACTGGGGCTAATGCAACTCTCTCATGAGCTTCAACCAGCATTTGGCTTTCCTTAAGCCATAAGGCTTTTTTGGCTTTCCTTCTGGGACTGGAACACACACTTTAGACACAACGTGTTCATCTCTAAGACAAAAAACTGTATGTGCTACTGTAAATAAAGGTTAGCCGCCAAAGCCGCATCACATTCACGGAAAACACCAGCTTTAAATTTCTTAACCATGGGTGGCCGTCGAGACGCAAGACCATCTGTTTCCAGCCTCTAAAGTTGCAGCATTCAAACCAGATCAGCAGCAAGCATCAAACAGACTTTGATCTCCATCTAAATGAACACCTTGGAGTATAATGTTTGTCTAAATGTGTCCCACACCCAGGTCTACAGCGTGGATAGTAAAGCAGGGTGGGAGCAGCAGATTGCCTGGAGGTTTGGACACCTGTGAGTAGAGCTGGAGTTCGACTTTGTGGCAGCAGGATTTACTGCTCCACCTGAAAGCACCTTCAAATTGTGTGTGTATTTTCCCACCGTCATTATGAAACACTAGACAGAAACGTCTCTTTCATCCTGTTCACACTTTCTCTCATCTTCGCGCCTTGCCTCTAATTTGCATAAGGATAATGCATAAAAATCAGCTCTCCCACATATGTGCAAATTAACTCATTACGTGTACTTTTAAACCACGGCCACTAGTTTGCGCGAAACATTACAGGAATGAGCTTCAGTGATGAAAATTGAACTCTGAAAATGTTTTTGACTCAATACATGTTTTTAAAATGAACTCTCAATAGTGAGAGAAAGCTTATTCTTAAAAAAAAAAAAAAAAAAAAAAAGCTTTTCCACCCAAACTTTCAGAGTACTTGCTTGGGATATTAGGTGAAAGGTTTTATTTGTCAAGAGGTAGAAAATGACATGATTTTTTTAAACGTATACAAATAAAAAGTGCTGTGTACATATCAGTTCAGGCCCCTTTACTCTGATGACCCTAAATAAAATAAGTCACTTTCTAAATGTGTGACACAGGTGCTAGTTCATTTTTCTTTATTTTTTTTTTATCTTAGTTTATGCTACTTTGTGTTATTCCATCAGATGACATGCTAATAAAACACATTGAAGTTTGTGTTTGCAACATGACATAGCATAAAAAGTTCAAGGTGTGTTTTTGAAAGGCACTTTTGAATCGTCATAATTTGGTATTCTACTATAGCACTAATCAAGACAGCTAACACCTTGCTTTACAAAACGTAAATGTTCTTAGAGGGTGCAACTAATTAAAAACCAGCTCAGGCACAAAAATAAAACTCATAATCAGCTTCAATATATTCAGCGACATTCCCCACTTCTTTATTCTGCGCTTTGGCAGCATGAACTCAAACAGTGCTTGATTAAAACCCGTCTGATCCTAAAAGAAAACATAATGCTCATCCTCATTATGTAAATAGTTGCTGTCCCGTTTTAAATTATTCCCAAAAAGCACTCAATAAATGTGAATTCTATTTTGCAAAGACGTCTAACATGAGCATAGATGTCCTCAGTTGTAAAGTGTTGTGTTTCTTTAAAACTTGGCAGGTGAAGTAAATCTCTTTTTCACACCATTCTGTGCGAGTGTGGGTGAGACAATATCAAACTGTGAGGAGGCATTTCACTGGCAGGAACATGGAGATGTGTGAGAGCAAGAAGGAACAATATGACGGCCCATTTTTTTGTGGAATATCTGTTTCATTTTATAGGGCAAAATCGTTTCCGAGGATACACTGCACACTATGCAGGTATATGACAGGTTTTGGCTCTGTCTTTAGTAACGACCTTCATGCCGATTGAATGGAAGCTATGCTGCCATCTTTATAGTATTAACTAAACAAAACTGGGACAATGCATCCTTGCAACTTTTGAGATATGAACGTCCAATACTATTAGAGACGCTATTGGCTGGTGTTTGCAAAGCAGCCAAAATAACACCAAAGACCATGTATTATAAAACTATCCAAGAAGGACAGAAAAAATGTACATTCACCAGAAAAACTGCAGCAAGAACATTAAGAGCAGCAGGTGTGAGAAGACTGGAACAGATGTAACAATGCATAAAAAAACACATTAACCACAAGCAGACAATAGATAAGGAAAGCAAAGTGCAATAAAAAACCAAGCAGAAAACAAGACAAAAAAAAATCAAAAGAGATTAGCAGAATGAGAAGCCCTAATTACAAAGAAACTAAAACAAAGATAGATAATTAGTGCTAACATAATTAATGGACACAAAGCAACAGAAAAAGACTTGGGAAAAGAAAAGTAAAATGGAAAAATAATGCAAATCCAGAGCTCTCTGTGCAGCAGGCTGCTGCTGCATCCATTTCGGTTCTTCTTCTTCTTTTTCCATTTATATGTGCTCACAGTCCTATAATTAACACGGATTCATCGAGACGCACAGAGCAGTCATCTGAGTCTATGCATGTTCAGCTCGTCCTGTTGCAGGAATGACTGACGCACAGCAAAATGATCTCCCTTTCACTAAACAGGTCCAAGTCAGGAGGCCAGCTCATGAGAGAAATTTGATTATTTTAAATTGAATGCGGTTTTGTGAAACTTCACTGAAAGGTCAAAACTAGTTTGCGACAACTAACTCATTTGACTGTCTGCTTTGCTGTCACGCATCTGAATCATCCTGTCAAAATCCAAACATTTAGTTTTTATTTCAGATTTCCTGCATTATGAGATGTTTCAATACCGTTGTTTTTTTTTATTTGTTTTTTTTATGTTCAATACCTCCCTATGCTATTGTGTGAAAATGTTGCTAATGCTTTGCAAATTTGTGAAAAAAATAAATTTAAGTCTTCCTGAATCCTAGCATAACATTCGTAAAACAACAGTTCCTCTTGTTGTTTCATTAATGCAATTTTCCATTTTGCTGCTCCTGAAGCAATATCTCTGCTTTCTTGGCAACTCAGTTAGCATTTACAAAGAGTCTCGTTCAGATGTAAACATTAATCCCGGAATAATGGTCTAAGAACTCTGGAGGTTCACAGATAAACTACCCCTATCTGATTAACACGAGAACCGGTGGAGTGCAATGATAAGAGTCTCTGACATCCACAAAATACTTGGAATTTAAAAACTTGATGAGTTGGAACATGTTGGCTGTTGCTGTGCTTGCATCCATGCTGTGACACCATTCTGGTTCACAGATCTACAATTCTTCCAGCCTCATGGTTTCTTTTTTATTATGCCATCTGTGATATCCGGTCAAACTAAGGAGAGATCTAAAAAAAAATCACTTGAGTGATTTGGTGAATAATTTGATAAAGCCCAATGCCTTCAAGAAATATGGGGTTTGTTTGTCATAAAAAAAAAAAAAAAAGTTCCAAGTTAAAAGTTGTTTTGCAACTTGGAACATTTTTAATAGACCGCTTACAATGAATAAAAAAAATCCATGAAAAAGTAATAAATCTGTATGTCTGACCTCTGTTTTATAATAACACTGCAGTTAGCATCTGTAAACTCCATCCCATTTATTGATATTCCTGGTAAAGGTGCGTTACAGGTCTAACAATACTGTGAAAGTTTTGGTTAGTCACTATGTTTTTGTAGCCGTTTACCAACTTATACGTGCATAGGATGTTCTGTTGTATTTACCCTTTTGAAGTGACTAAGATAAACTTCTGTCATGTTTATCCCCCAAGCAAACAGGAAGCTTTGGATCACCTGATTCAAGTGACTCCTGGATCTTCTCTTAGAAGAAATTCAACAGGTTTAACTTGATGTTTAATTTATGACGTTATCATGCTGAAGTAAAAGATCCATTTCCTTTCAAACATCTTTGCCGCAAGTGAAGACAATTCTGAAAGATGTACCATCAGTTTAGATTAGCATAAAGAAAAATAACCATTAGCTTGGGTATGAACATGTTTGTCGTTATATGCGTCAGAGGTGCTGGTTAACAGCTAAGAAGAGCTAAGTTATGTGAGTATAGAAGACGTGGTAGCAGATTTTGACAGAAAATCAGAAAGGAAATGTTAATTGTATTCATATTATGTGGTACTTGAAAATGATTACAAATCACTTTGTTAGCTTGCATAGTTGCAAAGTGATTTGTTCTACAAGAACGAAAAACTGAAAGTTTCTCCTAGATTTCTGTAAAACAAAGAAAATTCACATTTATTATATTTCATGGCGCTTCAGTAACATTTGGATAAAATCTGTGGCACTGACTTATACCACAGGTTTTCTCTCCAGTGATCATTATTTATAAAAAAAAACTTACCATGCAGTAATATGATAAAGACCAGTGCATTAACTATTGGGAGTAAAAACACATCCAGAAGTCTTTCAGAAAAAGAAAAAGCGGTGAAAGGATACTGGTGGTCCAGACGGTGCCATAGGCTTTGTGATGTGTCCTGCCTCTTGGTATCAACCTGTAGACCAGAAGAGAAGCAATATTACTCTTTAGCCACAAAAAACACCCTCTAAAGTCTCTGCTGTGTGATGGGAAGTGATGAAAACCGGCACTCCTGGACAGCCTGAGGGGCTATATCCACTCATCTCCACTTATACAAGTGAGACCTCTGGGCGGCCATAGTGGAAACGTCCCAATCTCATAACCTGCACAATCCCTAAAGTGCAGTTACAGTGAGACCACAGCCTGAGATCCTCCTCCTGTACGGAGTCACACCCCGAGCAAGGTTACAAACACACCAGAACTTGGCCTCGTCCCTCCAGCGGGATGAATCTCCAGCCTTGACGGCCCCATCTTTGTTTGGCCAATCAATGCAAAAGAGATTCACAGACTTCTTCTGATTCATAGCATGCAGATAAGAGAAAGGTTACAAGGAAAAACAAAAAACAAAAGATGAAAGAGATATGCTAAAGAGCTGCTGGGATGCACCAGTGAGATGAGGTGAGAGGTGTTTGTATGCATAGATGCGTCCATGCAAAAAAACACACAAAAAAACCCAGCAGCTTTTACTTGTGCGGCGAAGGATGTGGTGCACGAGACTCAAAAGTGCATTTCCTTTACTTTTATGTTAGGTGGTGTGCAACTAAAATGCAGAGACCAGACTGAAGGTAGTAGCCTTTAATATGAAACCAGGATGCATTATAGTAGTAACTCACTGTAATTTTGGGTAGTATTCAAAAAAAGGAAATAACTAGGGCACTTACAAGTATGTGTGCAGATTCAGAAAATAAAGTTTAACAGCCTCTACACACAGCATGTATGAAAAATATGCGCCGACATCTTTCATGCTAAAGTTACTGATATGCTTTTCTTTAATGGAGACCCGCACTCATCTTTCCAAGGTTTATTTGGGAAAGAATGTTTTCTAAAGAAAAAACTTTTCTAAGATAAACTTGTGATGGGTATGTAAGCAGTCCTCTCATTTGCATTTGAAACAAGTACTTATTTGATAATCAGTGACTGGCTTATTTATTTTTTTTATCTAAGAGTCATAAGTCAATGTAGAGCTTGCAGGGAAAAATTAAAAATGCAGACTTTAGTGAAATGATTCACAGATATGTTTAATAATGAAAAAAAAAAATGAATTCCTCATCTTTTACCTCAGAGGAAACATCCTGAAGGTTGCCGTCTGTCTCCTCTTCCTCTCTGTAGTAAGACACAGAAAGGTTAAGAAAACATCCTGACTCAATGACATAAAACATACAAAATGCTCTTCCTCAACGCCTCTGTGATTGTGTCTTTTCTTTATGGCGATTTTGACAGGGATATTGCTAACGTTACCTTAGTATACTCTGATTGTCTGTCCTATAGAAATTTCTTCTTGACCAGTATTTATGCGTTTAGCTTCGTCTTGCTCCTGGATTGAGCAAGACGAAGCTGCAATGGCAATGGCAGCAGTGCTATTGCTGCCATTAACGTTGTGTCCTTTTTTTTTTTCTTTTGTGAGCTTTGGAATGTACTTGGATCTCAGTGCTTAGGTGTTTTTAATTTCGAAATACGACTAAAAATGTAAAAAAAAAAAAAGATTTTGTGTTTAGCAGTGTTTCTTTTCTGGACAGAGTAACTGTAGGAGGGATTGTTGCCAGTAACTTTGTAATCTCTTTGCTTTTCTTTGATGTAGAAATTACCCCAGGCTCTGGACTTCTTCATTTAGCTATATGTCCTTCTTGGACACTGACAGACGTCTGACTCCTATTAGTTTGTGTACTATAGTTTTTTTCTTTTCTTTTATGTAGAAAGTACCCTTGACTCTGTGCTAGCTGTATTTTTTTTTTTTTTCTTTTTGGGGAAGCTTACGTAGGCATTGCTCCCATTAACTGTGGATACTCTTTTTACTTTTCTACTTATGGGCCAGTGAGTTCTTTCCGTTGTTCTCTCATCTCCCAGGGTGGCCCTGCTGGAGTTTTATTTAATGGTGCCACATGTTCACAAAGACTGAGGGATTGCTGAAAATGTAGCTGACTACATGTACTGAGGTGGCTTCTGTACCAACTGGCATTATATGATCAATATAATTTTAATGTGTTATAATTTAAACTGACCTTCGAATACAATTTGTCATGATTCTGATCATATGTTTCTACTGTACTTCAGTGAACTGGACTTGACATGAACTGAATTGGGATCGATTAAAATCTATTTAGTTGGATACCCATCTGGCTTTTTTGTGTTGTAAACACCCACTTCTTCCACGTCACACCAGGAAAATGTCAGTGGGGTAAAACCTTTGATAAATGACAAAACGGAGCAGGAATCTGCTAGGCATGCTACACGGCTGCTGTGATTACGCTGCAGAGGTGCAGCGTTGCGTCGGCTGCTCGGCTTGCACACTTTGACTGGAAATACAGTGACGCAGCAGCAGCAGCAGCAGACTCTGAATGCCCAGTGAGCCACTTCTTGGGAAAACAACAGCATCGTCTTGCCTTTCATTCACCCCACTAATCCATGTGAACTCATTGGGCCGTGGGAGTAAAATGTCTCAAGGCGCATAAATGGCTGCTGATGTTTGCTCCGGCAGGTCAGCAGTTAACTCTAAGAGCCCAGCAGTGCTGCTCAGGACACTTTGAGAAATCCTACTGCTATTTATCACCGTGTGTCTGTGAGGCTTTTGAATGTGCTGACACAAACGGCCTTTACCAGCAGCTCCCTGCAATAACCGCCCAGGAGGTTCTCATCAGAGCAACAAAGTGCTGCGACAACTTAAAGCTGTGCACATTTAGGTCTTGGCTGCTCTCCCTCCACAGCCCAGCTCTCTCTCTCTCTCTCTCTCTCGCTGTTTATTTAGAACAGACTTAAGATATTGCCTCTCAGATCATTATTCTTCATTATGTTGATGTAACTTAATTTTCAGTTTTGGTCCTGTATGCAGCAGAACTTAGATTATTTTGTGCTTTTCATATGTTCTGTTGTTTTCCATTATACGTCCTCCTGTCGCCTTCAAACTAGCATAGCTACAATACTTGCGATACGACATAGAAACAAGAAGGGCAAAAGTGAACAATTTTCAGTTGTTTTATTGAGACCTAAGACCTCTGCGTTCTCTACCTCCTTAAACATAAAACCTCTAAAAATTTAGCTTTTTAGTATGCAAGCCATATTCTAAAACTAACACTATACGTCCAACTGAACAGACCATTGCTATGTTCAAACATAGTGGGGGCAGCATAATGCTTTGGGGATGTTTTTCTTCTGATCAGAGCTGGTGGGAAGACAGATGGAAATACATAGATTGAGATTCTTAAAAGACTTGAGGCAGTGATAGGGATGGTAAAGAGCACAGACCTTTCAGAAGAATAGCCTCAACTCTATCGCCGGAAATACTTTAAAATGGTTTAGGTCAAGGCATGTTAATGTGATAAAATGGTCCAGGTAAAGTTCACACTTAAATCCAACGGAATATTGTGAGATTTGATCTTCTCATCAGATCTACTGAGCTTAAAATATATATTGAAAAAGGAAGAATGGGCAAAGCATTCAGCTTGAAACTTCGAATAGACAAGCAGCTGTACTTGCAGCAAAATATGGTTCTTAAAAAAGCCACCTTTTTTTAGATTTTTATATGGAAAACATTTTGAAAATCATGTATACATTGTTTTTTTTTCATGTCTCATTCATTATGCACTACTTTTTGTCCAGGATCTGTGACATAAAATCCAAATGAAATTCGCTGAAGTTCGGTGTTGTATTGTGACAAAATGTGAATAAATTCAAGAGGTATGCATACTTTTGCAATTCATTGTAGCTTCTTTTTTTTCTGCCTTTTTTTCCCCACCTGTTTTTACACCTATTTTGCAGCACCTGCTGTCTGCAGTAATTTGTCTCCCTTTTTATCTTCTCTACAACGACTTCTCCCCGATTACTCTTCCTGTTTTTACAACACCTCCTTTAAATTCTCTTCCTTCACACCTCCAACTCTCAACTCCTGTTCTAATTATTCAGCCAACCCAGGGCTCCATTCTTCTTTTTCGAAGAAAAGTAAGACTAAATCGAGTCGCACAAGGGTTTTGGTAAGTAGTCGCACGAGATTTGCGGCTCACAAGCGCAGTTATGTTGGCTCAGCTATGGAGCTGTTGTTTTTACTGCTTCTTTACGGCACAGTGCAAATCGCTGCAGGATGTGGCAGGCCGTGACAGGCCTGGGCAGCCTGGCGATGCACATGACACAGCACCTTCGTCTGGCGGGACATATTCCGTGTCGACAGGCTGCGTCACCGAGCTGATGGAGAGAGGAACGGGCAGGTGAGGTGTGAGGGAAAGAGGGAAGACGGATCCAGAGTCGTGAGCACGACGGAGGATGATCGGTGACGACTTGACAGTGACAAGATGGGTTGATGTAATGCCGGAGAATATGTGAGTAAAAGATTGAGCGGGAGACGGGCCAGAGCAGTTTGAGAAAGAGACGTGTAAGAGGATACGAGAGAGCTGCGTTCTTTTCCAGAACCAAGGTGTAGCAAAGACAAGGAAGGGAGTGTTTCTGTGTGGAGAGGCTGCTTTATGAAATATTTAGTTGTACGTTTGTCTCCTACCACAGCCTTGCTTTTTACTATCAATGCCCCTCTTGTGCTCTGCAGCCATTGTTTTATATTCATTCAGCCCAAGCTCCTCAACTCTTCTCTAATTCAGAAGAATAAATCTGAAATCTTGTCACAGTGGCTTAAATATTTATGGAACTTCAAATTCGATGCATTTTCTTATCATTTTAAGATGACAAGTTTCAATGTTTCTATCTGATTAACAAAAAAATATACAAAATAATTGCAAAGGTTATAACATACTTAAAAAAATAAAAAAATAAAATTTACAAATAAAAATCTTTGATGTGCAGTGTCCATTTGTTTTCAAGCTTCTTTACTTTGATCTAAGTACAAACCACTGCAGATGTCACCACATCTGGTGGTGGCAGCATTACGCTGTGGGGAAAGCTTTTCTTCAGCAGAGACAGGGAAGCTGAAGAAAGCTGATGGAAGGAGTAATGTCGCTAAATCATGCTCAGAAAAAAAAAAAAGTTTTCCAACTGGGAGCGTGAGGTTCACTTTCCATCAAGACCACGGCTGTCAAAAAGCGTACTCACGTTTCAGAATGGCTCAGTAAAAGTTCAAAGAAGCCGTGGCAACTCTTGAAAATGGATTTTCAAAGGACACTCTCCAGCAAAATGTTGGTACCGTTATATTTTTACTGTATTTATCCAGAGATTAAATTACACATAAATGGACTCTATTTCCTATTTAGGTGACTTCTGAAGACTACTGCTTGAAATGGATTTTATTTAAAGGTATCAGGATAAGGGGGGCTGAATGCCTGCCACAATTTTCCAATTTAAAATCTTTTGAAAATAAAGCGTCCCTTTGTTTATACTATGGATTACATTCTGCTGGCGTATCCTCTGCCATTTCAATAAAATCTAACAGTGCTGGTGGATGTAATGTGCTGGACAAAGTACTGGAAATTTGGCAACAATAAACAAACAATGAGAAGACGAAATAAAGTGCACGAGAGACGGAAACACGAGAAACTTTGCATAGATGCATATCCATTTCAGGAAATAGAGAACAATAAAGATCGGCCCAGTTGCCACAGCATGATGTGAAGCCCTGATTGTCCCGCCTGGCTCCCAAAATAAGGTCGAGCTCTCCATTCTGCTGGGAAAGCACACCCAACACAAATAACATCCCACTCAAAGAGAAGCGCACAATAGCTGTAAGTTGATCTCCTGCAATCTGGCTAAAACTGTGGGACTGAAATGTGCAATGAATCCAACAGAAAAGTCCCTGCTCCTCCTTCTGAGCTCCTGTGTGCTGATAAAATCTGGACCGTCTGCCTCAGAGGTCAGTTGTGACTCAAGCGCTCCTTGACTCACTGTGGCACGTCACAGCACTTTGCGCATGGCCTTCGCTTGCGAGCCATCCGCTTGCTTTTTCATCACGATTTCAAGGAATGCCTTAATAGTTCCAGTACCTTATTTTGTTTACATCATTTTTGCCAAACAAAATCAGGCATGCAAGAACATCCATGCTTGCAAGTTAACACTTCTATTATGCAGGATGAACAGGGACGTTTGTTATGAGATGTGTGTGTATGTGCGAATGTGTGCTTGTGTCTCCGTGGCGCCATCAGTCCATGTGACACTGGTGGAGATGATAAAGCCAA